ATCCCCCCTCCCATGACACAACCCCTAATTCCGCCCCGTGCGGCCCCATTCTTCTGCCGCCTAGCTTCCGCAGGCATGTTAGCAGCTGAGACCAATACTCAGATTGCTATTGGCTATTTTTACTTGTCTCCAATAGCAGACTGGCTATTGAAATTTGAAACCCCATCCACTGAGCAGAGGAGCGGACCTGAGAATGAAAGTTGTCGCTGAGTTCCGCTCCTCTGCTCAGTGGGCAGGTGCAATAGCCAGCCTACTATTGGGTTTTGCAATTTGAAATAGATGGGGGGGCCCCATGGGGGGATGAATAGTCGTAGGTGCACCCTGGGCAGCAGTGCGCCCTAGGCGGCTGCCTAGTTGCCTAGTGGTAGCACCGGCCCAGATTATGGAGCATGTAACAGGAGGAGCTGAAACACACCAGAATGGGTGGGAACACCCCAAACCCCCAGGTGGACAGGTAGAGAGTTGGGAAATATAGCATGGAGCTCTCACTGTTGGTAGTATGCAAAACATATAAGAAGCCAGACACTGACTTACCTAATGGCATAATATAGGCATACTGATCATTTAAAAGAGAACTATAGCCAAACCTTGTTTGGAGTTAGTTCTCTGTTGGGTCAAAAGAAGACATTTAGCAATGTCCTCCTGTGACCCAAACCTCAGAATATAGCAGGCTATTGCCCTATATATGCTGACAGTGCAGCGTTAGACTGCAGACGGGAAAGATCCCAACAATATTGTCAGGATCAATTCCACCACCTGATTGATGGCCCACCCCCTCCCCTGTCTGTCCCTCCCGTCAGTGCTGGAGGAAAGGAAAGGGAGGGTGTAATCCCTGCGGGGAGCAGGGACTGACAGTCCCTACTCTCTGCATGGAGAAGATCGTGAACTGAGTGATCAGCGGTTTGCGATTGCTCGATTCTCGAGCCGATGTGTGAGAGCTGCAGTGTCACACATCAGCTCTAACTGTGGGGATGAGTGTATTTCACTCTCCCCATAGTTATTTACGCTCTAACATCTATTGTATGTTTCTAATACATCTTCAAAACTCTTTACTTACCAGTTGCAAATCCAAAAATGACCACGACCATCAGCCAGCAGAACCGTAACAAGTCTCCAAAAATCATCTGTAAAAAATTAGATAATAGGATTTTCTCACACACTCAATAAACTGCCCACATATCAGACTCCCCATAATACCAAGATCAGATAATATACGTCTCTATCCCTGCTTGTCTGGCTTTGGTCTATCGCTTTAAATTTTTTTGGTATGTTTCCTAACCTCAAGCAGATAACACACATGCCATGTTTCTGAGTTCTTGCATGTTCATAACAGTGCCAACAGAGCCCTATATATATCTATCTATATAGATAGATCTACAGGTGAAACTCGAATAATTAGAATATCGTGCAAAGTTCATTTATTTCACTAATGCAACTTAAAAGGTGAAACTAATATATGAGAGAGACTCATTACATGCAAAGCAAGATAATTCAAGCCGTGATTTGTCATCATTGTGATGATTATGGCTTACAGCTCATGAAAACCCCAAGAACCCCAAATCCACAACCTCAAAAAAGTAGATTATTACATGCAATCAATAAAACAAGGATTGTACATAGAACAATATCGGACCTCTGAAAAGTACAAGCATGCATATGTACTCAGTACTTGGTTTGGGCCCCTTTTGCAGCATGTACTGCAATTACTTTTGCACGATATTCTAATTATTCGAGTTTCACCTGTGTATATCTATATATATCTATCTATCTATATATATATATATTTAGTATTCCTGAGATCCAGAACCAGGTCCCCCCTCCAGTGTGCAGCTATTGGCACTTCTGGGTTGCCCACAGAGCGCTGTCAGTGCAGGTGTAGCGTTAAAGGGCTGTGCGATGTGCTGATCAGCGTTCAAGCTACATACTGGTATACCTGAGCTGAGCCCCCTATGCCTCCAGCATCTGCCTCCTGTTTTCTATGGCTTCCAGTGACAATGACCCCTGTGCCTTCAGAGTCCCCTTCACTCCTGTGCCTTCGGAGACCCTGTGAATCTTGTGCAATCCTTTGACCCCCACGTCCCAAATGACTCCAGTGATCCTGTGCCTTTATTGACTCGTGGCATCTGTGCATACCAGCAAACCCCTGTATGCCCAGCAACCTCCGTGCTCTCCAGCTACACGTGCGTCCCCAATGACCCCTGCATCTTTGTGTCAACTGAGGTTCCAGTGACCCCAGAACATCCTGCATCACCCTATGACTATAGAGAATCCAGACTCACTTATTTTGTGTCACCCTGTGATTCCAGTGCACACTCCATGACACCTGTATTACCATGTGATCTTGGCTCCTGTTTTTCCTGGACTGTTTCCCTCCCCCTTATGATACTGACTTCTATCTGTGACAAAATGCACCAGTCTATACATTCTGAATGATCTCAGAAGCATCTCAAGTTGATGTCATCAACAGAAACCCAAAGCCCTAACTGTGCTATTTGATATTGCTATGGTGGATGATAGATATGAACTTTTCCCAACATATCATCGTATCTGTCACAATAAAACATGGCACTTTTACATAGGGGATATCACACCATTCATATTGTTTGGTCATATCCAGTCATACATGCCAAGCCCAAAGCTCACTGCACCATCCTCAGTTAACATACCTTATGGATCATGATGGTGAATGGTCCAAGCATTTGGAATCCACGTGCAAAATACATGACGTAGCACCAGCCCAGCACAAGTAATATGGACATAGGCACCACCTCTCCATCTGTGTTTGTCATTCGGAGAATGAGGGTCACAAGCACAAGACAGGGGAAGAGGATTCTGTTGGAAGGTAAAATATTTTAGTTGCTTTGCTCATATACACAAAAGAAAATATCAAAACCAAGAAACACACCCAATAAAATGCCCCTTTAGGTTATTTAACTGCGCGATATACACAGACAGTTGTGTCTGTACAGTTCAGTGCACTTTATGCGGTAGAAATAAATCTATCTACCAGTAATTAAATGATAAAGATGATGTTTAATGAGGCCGGCTCTCTCTGACCTGCTGCAGCTTCTAATGCACATTGTGAGAAGCTCAGAGTCAGCAATTTCGGTCCAGGAGAAGAGTCGGTACAACCAGGGCCGGTGCTAGGATTCTAGGCAAGGAAAGTGAAAAAACAAAACAAAACATAGTACAAGTACTTGTCAAAATGCCCTGTTTTTCCGCCCTCACCCTGCAGCGCCCTCAGGCGGCCGCCTGACATGCGGTAGCACCGGGCCTGGGTATGACTTAGCAAGACTGAAGGGAAGGCCAAAGTTCAGCTTTACCCTGCACTTCCAAATCATCTTTGGTATATACACTCAGCGGCCAGATTATTATGACCACCTGAAGTTTGTAGGCAAATTAGCTATAATTTCGGGGCTGAAGTTGCTAGAGGGCCAGACCATTATAAATAGGGAAGCAGGTTGTTTACCACGACAGTAGAAGTGATTTATTCTGAAGATACGGGTAAACAACGCGATGTAACAGCCTTTGAACGTGGGATGATTGTTGGCGCTCGGAGCCATGGAGCGAGTATCAGGAAAACAGCAGAATTTGTTAAATGTTCAAGAGCAGCTGTTGTTAAAGTGTTTAAAGACCGGACTGTCAGCCGAAAATCTGGGTCTGAACGTGCGAATTGTGGCCGTCAGCGACTAGTCAATGTTAGGGCAGAATGGAGAGTGGCAAGACTGGTACAAGACAACAGAAGGGCAACAGTGCAGTGTCAGATTCCTCGCATCACCTTTCAACATCTCGTGGAGTCATCTCGTGGTCCAACGAAGTATTGATGGGGTGGTCATAATAATCAGGCCACTCAGTGTACATTGAAAGTCTGTATTGGATTATGAGCAATTACTTTGGTTTCTATGAGCCAAGCGGTGGTGTCAGCAGTGTCTGCTGGTTGCATAAACATGCATGCTCAGTCTAACCAATCAGATCTTCTGATCGTCATTTCACATCTTTGGCCAGCTTACATATAGTTCTTCCCCATGGTTCTTACATGATAAGTGTGAACGGTCCTCCTTGAACGGCTTGTGCTAGGTACTTTGGCTCTCTTATCTGAAACAGGTCCGGAATCTAAACAGGTTAGGGAAAGGTTTACAATTAAAAACAATATGCATGAAAAATAAACATGACTGCACTGTTTAGTGCATAACAAACTCTTATTTAATTTAATATTTCTCTAAATGGCCCAGGGTATACCGCCGTTAGTTCGCAGTCCACCTACATGTGTGCACCCACAATAGCAACTGCTTACTGTCAACAACTGGAAAATGTTCCTTAGTGGTCATTCTTTAATGGACTACCCTGGGGTCTTTTAAACTCCTTCCCCTGGACATACTGTATGTGGCAGTGCAGAAGTAAGCTCTATGCTTTACTGAAACATACATGTGTATGGCTGGCATGTTTTGCGCTGGAAGGCCATTCAGTTGGTTGCCCCTGGAAGCATGACCACACTGTCTAGGACAGTGCTGTCACACAGTGAAGATCAGAAGTCAATAGGGCAGGCTCCCATTCATGTGATTATTGTGACAGTCAATCACAGTGATCACATGATTAGGAAGCCCATGTATCACCACCAGCATTACAACGTCTTACCAGCCCTTGCCAGTGGTAAGGTTTTAAAGATTCACACACTAATCTATGCACTGGAATTGCTCATCATCAGCACAGCTGGAAGGCCTTGGTGAGAATGATCACGGACTGTTCTGTTTTCCTTAGATAAAAAGGTCACAAACTGTTAACTGCACTTGTGCCACATTGTAAAGTTAGTCAAACCAAGGATCCATCCAGACCTCCAATTACCCCTTATTGTCTGTAGACACCGGCCCATCTACGACCACAGTAACATTGATACAGAGACAAATGTTGGGCAATTAAAGTGTATGTTCAGCCAAAATGTTTAGTTTTGAATGGAGTGGAGAAGGGTTAGGTACCTATCTCGCATACACAGGCCAGTTTATACTGGAGCCAACTAACTTACCTGTAGATGTTTGGAATGTGGGAGAAAGCCCATGCAAGCACAGGGAAAGCATGCTTGCAGGAAGTGTCCTTTGTTCTGGTTTGGATTCAGACTGAGGACACTAGTGTTGCAAGGCAGAAGTGCTACCTACTAAACCAGTGCACTAGAACTATATCAAAAGACTGCATTGTGCTAATCTATTGTGTGGCCTTAGAGATCCAAGTCCCTCATCTCCTTGGAGTCTGCAGAAGTCTGGTGTCAAAAAAAGGAAAGCGAAAACCCCACTCAGATCATGGCCACCTGCCACTTCATCAGGTGTCTGTGTGTGTCCTGGTTTCAGATTTCCCCTGACTTCCTTTTTGGTGAATCCGCTGGCAGCAGAACAGGAATTTAAGGTAAATCTCCCCAACAGTGCCCTGGAAACCAGACAGGACTATTTCACTCCCCACTCAATCTAAAACTAGACAAACACTTTTTAGATTCTAGGTTTACCTTGAATAGTAAAATTATAATTGCTCCGATAACACTAAGGATCTCTCCTGCCAGACGAAGGTGGTCTCCAGAAGTCAGGTACGCTTCCTGGTGAGGCGAAGAAGACAATGGTGAATAATACATGTGGGCAACTTGTTTTTCTACATAATACCCATGGAGATCATTTATTTAGCATTTTTCTGTTACATTTTAAAGGAGAACTATGGGGTCAGTGTTTTTCCCCATAGTTCTCCTAAGGGTCATGGGAGGACACAAACTAGCGTCCTCCCGTGACCCAAAGCTCAGTATACTGCGAGCTACAGCTCGTGGTATACTGAGACCGCCGCAGCCGGGACGGATCCCGACATTACTGTCGAGATCCACCCAGCTGTGTGATTGACAGCTGTCTCTGCCTATCTAGAGGCAGAGCCAGCTGTACCCCACCCCCTCCCCCGTACATTACGCCAGTCAGTGCTGGAGGATCGAAGCAGGGAGCAGGGGAATCCCTGCGGGGAGCCGTGACTGACAGTCACTGCTCTCTGCAGGGACATGATCGTGAAGTGAGCGAGTGACGGTATGTGTTCGCTCACTTTCAGATCTATTGAGCCGACGTGTGACAGTTTCATTGTCACACTTCGGCTCGAACTATGAGGCTGAGTGAAAATTACTCACCTCATAATTCTCCTTTAATGAGAAACCATTTCACGGTACCCATTGAGTTTTTAAGGACCCCTGCTCAATAAATTTAAATGGCAAAGGCATGGCAATGGAGACAAACAGCAAGCAGGACTACCTCCAATGTACAAGACAAAGCATTTGTATGACATAGCTCCATAGAAAACATTTCTCTCATTCTCATGTCTAGCTTTTCTGCTGAGCAATGGGGCAAAATGTCTTTGAAGGTTCTCATTTATTCAGGTCATGGTATATTAGAGTTGCCACCTTTTCTTCAAGTGAAACCCTAACACTCTAGCACCATGTTCGGCAATTTGTTTTGGGGGGAGAATATAGCGGAGAATATAAGGAGAGACAGCCAGGAGACCGACAATAGAGGACTACAAATCCCAGCAATACATACACAGCAATACAAAATAATATGAAGCTACATACTCTGTGTTGTTCCGGGCAGTCTCCAGGGTCTCCGGTGGCTGTATGAACTCTCAGGTGGGCTATGCGGGCTCTCTGATGGCTTTGTGGGGTCTCATGTGGGCAATGCAGGCTTTCAGTAGACCTGTGCGGAAGTGCAGGGGTCTCACCCTGGGGTTCGGAGGCAGGCAGCGTGCTGTCAGGAATGAGCCAGAGGAGGTGCAGGTCGGTGCCTGTTACACGCACCTGCGGCTCACAGGGAGATGCAGCTGCCTGAGGTCCCGCGCTTGCTGGGGACCTCGACAGCCGCATCTGTCAAAAAATGTAAAGTGATGGTATCGGCACTTAAGTGTCCTGTGTCTGGGTGTCAGTTGGCTTGAAACCCGGACAAAAGACGCAAAAACTGGACTGTCTGGGTGAATCCCAGACAGGTGGCAGGCCTATGGTATATCTGTAAAAAATAAGTCAAGGCAACTGCAGTCCAGTGGCCTTGACTTATTTTTTTTACAGATAATGGGGACAAATGTGATAGCAAAACTGACTTTCCAGTGTACCTCCGTTTGAAACAGCTTAAGCCATCAGCCTGCATTTAGCTATTACACGTTCTTGGAGGTACAGTACACTAATAACTCAGCATAGTCCTCTCTTTCATATTTACAGTAAATCTCAACTCTCTGGGATTATTTAATTTGGATCCCAGCTCTGACTGCAATACTTCAAGCCGGCATTATTTGGATATAGATTCTAACTTGATTGCCTCTTGAAGTCAGAGGACGTCAAGCAACTAACATTTGGAGGAGGAGGACAACATCATCAGTCCTATATTACAGTCAGTTAAGCTTTCCTGTAATAAGAGAAAAAGTGACATCTCATGATAAGTCTTTATGTCAGGCTGTTTTTGGAAAAAAAAATAAAAATAATCAGAAGTGGAGATATGCAGAGTCATCCGGAAAATGCTGACTGGGCTGAAAACGGAGCTACAACTTTGTGGAATGTTCTTTAAAAACTGGTGCTTATGCAAACTGTCCCTCATGGCACACAAATATGCCGTGCCTGTAGCCAAAGAATGAGTCAGCAAAAATTCGACAGAAACTAAAAGGTCAATAAAGGAGAAAGTATTTTGAAAAAAAAAATCCTTTCGAAACTCAATATACCAGAAGCTGCACTTTTTTGGGGTCATACAGCAGACATTTTTGCAAAACAAACCCAAGCCTTGGCCGAGCAATGAATCAGGTATAAGGTTGAGGGTCAAATCTGGGAACTCTCTGGAATTTGGTCTGTAGACTCTGGCTAATTGGTATGATTACCAGGTCTTTGAGCTGTTAAAAGTGCCTTTTGGCCTGCCTGCTTATTTGCCGACTGGAGTGCTGAAGTCAACATACCTGCTTCAGTGTCACAGTGGACAGGAGTGGAGAGCTGACACTGCGGAGGAGGAGGAGGAGAGAGCCAGGAGCAAGGGCGGGCTGTGTTCTCTTCTTCTCTAGCCACCCTTGGAACTCTCTGGAATTGGCCAAAGAAACTCTAGCTCAGTGGTGGCGAACCTTGGCACTCCAGCTGTGCCAAAACTACAAATCCCAACAAGCATCTGCCTCTGGGAGTTATGTCTGTAGCTGTCAGAGCCTTGCAATGCCTCATGGGACCTGTAGTTCCAAAACAACTGGAGTGCCAAGGTTCGACACCACTGCTCTAGCTAATTAATACAATTACCAGGTCTCAGGGGTTCCAGGAGTTTTCACTGGTGTGCTCGTCTATGGGCTCACTGGAGAAATGATGCCAAAGACATTACTCCAGCCACACAGTGGGTAGGAGTGGAAAGCTTAGATTGTTAAGGAGGAGAACACTAGGAGCAGGGGTGGTTGCTAGGCGCTAAGCAGGATGCTCTGGCTGGTGTCCTGCCCAGCTCTTGGCGGGCAGGGAGCTGGGTGGGATGCCAGACAGAGGTACTGTCACACCCACACACACCCGGGTAACGTGCACTGCCAACACTCTGACCCCCCC